CTGGACAGCGTAGTGGATGCGCACTCTAAAACTCTGCGCAGCCTAGAGCGATCCGAGAAGAGCCTCAACTTAACCATCGGCCGCGTGAACAAAATGCAGAAGGTCAATGAGCACCTGCTCCAGGTCACAGGCAACACGACCCATCACCTGGAGCTGGGACTCAACCACCAGAGAGACACCCTCAAAACCGTCTCGCATATGCAAGACTTTGACCACCATGCGTATGACACCATGAATCATACCATCTCGGCGCTTCAGCACACGCTGACCCTCACGGAGAACACCGTGAAAGATCAAGGCAAGGAGATTGCAGCTTCCAAGACTAAGCAGGATGAGCCGGAAACGCAAGTCAAGCGAAAGCAATAACAAGTCCAAGAGCAACAGAAAGCGGTGAAGATCACGAGTTTCAGTACTCTTTCGGTCGTCCTGCTATTCATCGCCTGGAGGTGTGGTGCCTCTGGCTTGACGCCTGTTGCCCACCAAGCGAAGCACGTTGCAGTCGACAGGTACCGGGGTCACTCCCAGTTCACTGTCGTTGCCCGCAAGGCTGACGGCTCGACAGTGTTCGGGCCCGAGGAGGTGGTCGGGAGCACTCCTCTCAGCGATATCGTCCCCCGAATGGAGACGCCACCAGCTGGGCATGCCTGGGAGCTGGCGGGCGCCAACGCCGCCCTCGATCCGGGGAGGCAGGTGCACGAGCTCGGCGAGGGTTGCAGCCTCGTGCTGCCTGCCATGTGCGTGAGCGTTGCGCACTGCGACGCGGCTCGCGAGGAGGGGCAGACCTTCGGCAGCGACGGCGCGGCGCCCCGCGCCTGGGCCACCGCCTGCGTGGCGGCCCGAGAGGTGGGCCGCCCGGCCGCGGCCTCTCCCAGCACCGGGCGCGCCAGCCTCGGCCGCCGCTGGCCTCCCGCGACCGCGGGCGCCGCGTGCGCGCGCCCTCGGGCGGCAGCTGGCGCACTCGCAGCATTCCGCGGCCGGGGCGTCCCGAGAAATAGCCCGACGAAGGGCCCGACCATCTGCTGGTGTGAGCACCGCAGGTGTGATGCACTTTTTTCGGTGCACGCGGACTGCGCCGCGGGGGCCTTCGGTGGAGCTCCCCGTGGGGCCACGAAGCGCTGTACTGGGTGAGGGAGACGCCTGCGGACTGCGCCACGGGGGCCTTCGGTGGGCCTCCATATGTGGCCACGAAGCGTTGTACTGGGTGTGGGAGACGCATGCGGACAGCGCCACGGGGACCTTCGGTGGAGTTTCCTATGGGGCCACGAAACGTGTGATGGGGTGTGCCGAAATGAGTGGCGGGGACGCATGCGGACTGTGCCACTGGGACCTTCTGCGGAGCCCCTATGGGGCCACGCAGCGTGTGAGGGGTGTCGGGGACGCATGCGGACGGTGCTACGGGGACCTTCGGCGGAGCTCCTATGGGGCCACGAAACATGTGAGGGGTGTGCCGAAATGAACGGCGGGGACGCATGCGGACTGTGCCACTGGGGCCTTCGGCGGGGCTCCTATGGGGCCACCAAACGTGTGAGGGGTGTGCCGACATGAATGGCGGGGACGCATGCGGACTGTGCCATTGGGACCTTCGGCGCAGCTCCTATGGGGCCACGCGACGTGTGAGGGGTGTGCCAAACGTAGTGGCGGGGACGCATTCACACTGTGCCACTGGGGCCTTCGGCGGGGCTCCTATGGGGCCACGAAGCGTGTGAGGGGTGTGCCGACATGAACGGCGGGAACGCATGCGGACTGTGCCACGGGGACCTTCGGCGCAGCTCCTATGGGGCCACGAAACGTGTGAGGGGTGTGCCGAAATGAGTGGCGGGGACGCATGCGGACGGTACCACGGGGGCCTTCGGCGGAGCTCCTGTGGGGCTACGAAGCGTGTGACGGGTGGGCCGAAGTGAATGGCGGGGACGCATGCGGACTGTGCCACTGGGCCCTTCGGCGGAGCCCCTATGGGGCCGCGAAACGTGTGAGGGGTGGGCCGACATGAGTGGCGGGGACTCATGCGGACGGTACCACGGGGACCTTCGGCGGAGCTCCTATGGGGCCACGAAGCGTGTGAGAGGTGTGCCGACATGAATGGCGGGGGCGCATGCGGACTGTGCCATTGGGACCTTCGGCGCAGCTCCTATGGGTCCACGCGACGTGTGAGGGGTGTGCCAAACGTAGTGGCGGGGACGCATGCGGACTGTGCCCCTGGGACCTTCGACGGAGCTCCTATGGGGCCACAAAGCGCATGAGGGGTGGGCCGAACTGAGTGGCGGGGACGCATGCGGACTGTGCCACTGGGACCTTCTGCGGAGCCCCTATGGGGCCACGAAGCGTGTGAGAGGTGTGCCGAAATGACTAGCGGGGGCGCATGCGGACTGTGCCACTGGGACCTTCGGCGGCGCCCCTATTGGGCCACGAAGCGTTGTACTGGGTGGGGGAGACGCATGCGGACTGCGCCACGGAGACCTTCGGTGGGGCTCCATATGGGGCCACGAAGCGCTGTGCTGGG